TATTATCCAAGGATTGTGGGCACTCCTAATTACGATACAACAACTGTCAATGATCTATAATTTGATATGGAGGGTAATTCTATAATCTTAGGATAATTGTTCAAAGCAAACCCATACAACGATTAAGTGTATCTAGCTAAAATTGATGATGAAGGTAATGGTCAAGAAAATATGGTAATAAATGCTCATTATAATAACGGAGGAGTGAATGCTTATATTCGGGCTACATGATTTCTTATTGTTTTAGCTGATAAATTATATATTCTCTACTAATAGATGATTAATCAAAGTACTCTCTTTATTGCTTGCGTTGAAGCAGAAACAGGGTAAATAACATAACTAATGCTATCAGATTCATCATAGTCATGGATAAAATTGTAATTGATATCTTACAGCTATAATATCATCATTGCTTAATTTCAGCACTAAGATCTCTCTACATTTTTAGTTCAAAAGTACTAGTTAAACTATTTAACATTAATGCTTGATTTAAAATGGAGCTGAAAATGTGAAATCTAGTCGAATAGACAATTCGTATATCATTTATAACTTTATATTGTACCTAATGGATTTGAGGAAGTATACACCATTGGTTAAATTGACAATAAATTTAGCATTCTTACTCTAAATTTTGAAGAATTATCAGCTAATTCTAATGCTCTAAATTAAAATCATGTGATAGAAACGGTCAACAGTAATTTTAACTCTGATGGATTGTCAATTATGACATCGAGTTTAGAGACACAATAATGATATGCTTGTATAACTGATAACCATGACATCAGTGTGAAGTTTGTCATGGTAAATCTAGTAATGGATGATGCTATAATTTACTTGATAGACAATACTCTCTATTCATATTACTGCTAAGATATCGCAATGTTATCTTAAAACTCGATTTATGAAAGGATACTTCTTCTTTATAACAGCCAGGATAGAGTTTTCATAATGACCATTACAATTTATTTATATACTGATTATTTTTCTACGATTAATGGAGAAGTTTAATTGCAAGCAAGCATAGTAGAGATGGGTAATTCAATTAATTTCATGTATCAACGTTTTATTTTTATTAGTGCTACCATAAATAGATATTATCCTAGTTAGTATAGAATATTTGGACACTCAAGAAATAATTTGGATTGCACCTACAGTAAGGAAATTACTTATTAAGTTTTTGGATTCGTATAAAGCGAGTATATTTCTGAAAAGTGCTTATCTTTTATTGAGATACCAAGTACTAAAGTATTATCATAATAGGGAAGATCAGGTTTTATGACTCGAGATTTTAACTAACAAATAACGACAGCTAATCCTTTGATACAAATAATCTCTGGTCTATCATTTGTCTAAACCAATATAAAACTCATAGATAATAATAAGACTTGCTTAAGGATGGATTAAATCACTTATCTTATTGAAGATATATACTTTGACAAAAAGGTAACTCCATTAACAAATACGTACAATTTTACAAGATCTCCATTAGAAAAATTTAAGAATGAAAATTGTACCTTTAATCTTACATACAGCTTCTCGATTGCATATTTTTAACACACTGCTAATTATACATCTACCCCAAATATTTCTCTTACAGTAATGAATAGGCCACCTTAATTGTTGACCTAACTTCAGTATTCAGTTTAATTAGAAGTCAAAGCTACAAGTTACAATTAAAAATCTTATTCTAACTTTATACTTTATACTGATTGCCCTATAAGAACTATAGGAACTAATCTATAGTTTAAGAAATACATTTATAAAATTGGTGATACTTTCATTAAGTAAAATGTAACATATTTCTTCAAGCTTACCGGCTTGCAATCAATTTGTTTAACACGATTAAGTTTCAATATAACAAATTAAATAGCTGATTAAAGTATAGATTCTGAAATAGCTAACATTGATAGGACTATTTTAACCATCTATTCAGTTGACTAATCTAAGGTAGGATACTATAAATACTAGGTAAACATCCTAATAAATTCAGTAATAGCAGGATCAGTGCCATTGTTTATTACGATGATTAAACCAGCTGAAGTCACGTAAGAGCAAGTAAGAAGCAGTTTGAATGATGTCAATTGCAAACTAAAAGATGCTGTTATTTTTACTGATGAAATTTATTCTTATAAATTACCAGAATGTCTTAACACGATAAGGATGTAAGAAAATATCATTGATATAGACTATTCTTAAATAAAGAAATTTTCTGAATAATCAGCACATGGATTTTATATAAGCCCAAAACAGTAAGATACTGGTATATATGAAGTGAAGGTTTAGATAAGAAATAGTCAATTTGAACCACTAAAAATATATTTTAACTTTAAGGTATCAGTCTACACTAATGTAAATGTTCGTATTAAGTGCTTGGACAAAGATCCAAAGCTTTGTAATCCTAGAATTAAAAGTATAAATGTTGAGGGAATAGCGTCAGTAAAGTTTCCGAAAGATATCATACCTATTGAAAGAGATATGTATAGTAACGTATCCAGAGCTCTTTCTGTCAAATTAGTGAATCAAGAAAAGATAAACAGTACTATAATTAACTGGGAGGTGATAGATTTCTAAAAGAATCAAATTAAACTGTAATTGATTTTTTCTAATCCAATGCTGGTTTCATAATCTATTTTGGTAAAATTAATTTTCTAATGTTTTAGGGAAAAGATCAACTTTAATTGAGATTTTTAGATAGCTCATACTTTAGAAGCAAAAACTAGGATTATGAAGTCACTGATAATTACTATACAACATCAGAAATACCACCACAAGCAGTCAACTCAAGTAAAATAATCAAATTAACATACTTAGCTCTGATGAAGGCCATAAAGTCTACATTCACTCTTCTTGACTAATCTTTAATGTCTGGAGTCGTCTCAAACATGATGCTTTCGCTATTTTTGGGGTTGTCAATGAAATAGATTTGGAACTTAATCAATACTTTACAGATTTTATCACATATACCCATGCTCGGACTTACCATTCCTTCAAACCTACTTATGTGTCTTTAAACTATAATCGATATTTCAAATATGAGTATCATTCCCTAATCAGTGATAGATTTTTTCTTTACCTAGATCAATACTTTTGCAGAAATTCAAAACTCTAATTTCGAATAAATGGATATCTTTAAACATATTTTTCAAGCTTTTGTTTTAGATCAAATTAACTAACTTAAGATATGACTAGTCTAAATTAATGTAAAATATCGGTTAAATTGTATTAATGCTGATTGCATTATTTTTTGTGATTGGGCTTTTGATTTTATTAAAGAAATTATCTAAATGATATTTATGGTAATAATTTGCTTTTGTATAATTAATGTTTTTTAAGGATTGTTAAGATTTATAACACTTTGAAGAATAAGGTTTTCTGTAGTACAATAATTACTTATTTTACAAAGAGTTATCTAAAAAATTATATTAACTGCTTGATTGGAATGAAATCTGTAATGATTGATAAATGATTTTTAAGATTATAGTTTATGAATGGAGAGAGTGATGACAAAATGACAATGGCAGTCTCGACTTTAATATTTATTATATACACAACTTCCCCAATAATTGTGGCTGCATTCTTGACTATTAATAATTAGTAATTAGAAAATGATGTATTTAAAATAAGATTTGGATCTCTATATTCCAACATTAAAACATTATCATTTGACAGTTATTATTACAATGTGATATTCATTCTTCGAAGGCTTTAGTATGGTTTTATTATAGTATTTTTAACAAATTATCCTTGTATTTAACTGATGATACAAATTTGGGTGAGTTTTATGAGCATATTCTACATATTTTAATACACACCTTTTATTGAATATTCAGACAATATCACTGAATTTCTAAATGAGCTTACTGTCCTGCTTGTGTTTACTTGTCTCACAACTAATGCCAATGGATCTTCTGACATTAATACACAATACTAACTTGGGTTCTTTTTGATTGCATTAATCCTGATTAACATATTGGTTAACTTTTCACTATTTTTAAAGAACAACATTGTTAAGATTTATAAACTTATCAAAGATCTACCTAATCGTAAACATAGAATAGCAAAGTAGAAATATCTGGAAGAGGCTTAGAAAGTCTAGGTTCATGCTGATTTATATGATAAAATATATCTAACATCACAAAACTACACAAATCAAGCAGATGATTAATTTAATGATTCTCAAGAAGCTAAAATAATACATGATATTGAGGAGAAAAAAAATAATAGAATAAGAATATTTGGGCAGCATGTGGCGCGACTAAAAGAAGAGTTGGAGGAGGATGATTTTTAATTAAAAAAAGATGAGCTTGATTAAACATTAAGAAAGAATTAGATACTTTACTCTAAAATATATGGATTTAGCAGTAGCAACTTAAACTTTAGTAATCAATCTACACTTAATGCTGATAAGCAGAAATTAGAAAATTATAAGCAATTTCAACCTAATTAGGTTTCAAAAACTTATAGAAAAATTGAAGCTGAAAAATATATGAATGACTTAATCAGAAAAGTAGCAAATAATTATAAATCAGAATATAAACAAGATTTATGAAACCAATTATTAAAATTAAAGCCAAATTAAAGCCAATAAAATATATAATCTAAGATTATTTGATTAAAAGATTAGAAATAAAGCAAGCGATATTTATGGGGTTTTGGGGTTTTGGGG